TGACTCGACGGCACATAACAACAACAACAACAACAGAAGATATTACAATGCATTATTCATAGTAAATGTTATTTAAGAAAGTTGAGTGCCACTTCTGTGTCTATATGTACACATACTGGCTCACAATGTGACTCTATTTCTTGGTAGGGGTTGAGGTGAAAAAAGTTTGAAAGCTATTGGAATAGCAGTTTAGAGTTCAGGTATATAATTTGATTTAAACATTTTTCTAAATCAGGATAATAATATATACTTTATAAAATTATGGAGTTTAAACAAGCTGAGAAATGTGAACAGCTCAGGATTGTAGCTACTATGACATTTGTTACATTAGTTATTATTATTGCATATCCGTAAATGTTTAAACCATAAAAGTTTATGGGTGGTTGAAAAGTTTATTAAAAATCATTTTCAGTGCTCACTTCAGCAGCACATATACTAAAATTGGAACGATACAGAGAAGATTAGCACGGTCCCTGCGTAAGGATGACACACAAATTTGTGAAGCGTTCCACATTTTTTTTTAAAAAAAGTCATTTTCATCTGAATGTCCACATGTTCAGCTTTTTTTCTTTTAATGACCAATGGTCAGAATATCAGTGATTTCGAAGTCTATTATGTTAATAGTTATGGCATCTGGGCCGACAACTGGTCAGTAAGTCACTATAATCAAATTGTACTCCTAGGACCAACCATCTCAGGCCCAGACTTTCTGCTGTGTTGCATTCCTAGTCTGAAACATGACAGAAGTAGTACGTTGATTCCTGACCTTCTCTCACTCCTATTTCCTACCTCCTGGTCCTTCCTCAAACAGTGGTCCAACGCTGCTTGCCCCTTCCTCAATCCGTTATGCTGTTTTGATGTATGGTTTACAGAGTGAACCAAAGCCAAACCCAAGTCAGAGGAATTAACAGCACAGAAGACAACCCACACACCGAAGTACCTCAAAGCAGTAAAATGCCCGCTAATACGCAAATGACTTTAATTATTTTCAAAAAAGAGGGTAAAGCCCGGCAAGCTGACATTAACAGGGAAAGTGTAGGTAAAGTGGATGCAATGCCCTCCTCTGCAGATACCTGATACATGAATTCCCAGAGTCTCAGGTGCAGGGAAGAACACACTGACACAGAGAAACGTGGGTCAGTGCAGCGGAAACATAGGAGGACAGGAACCAGCAAGGTGTTGAAGGCTGAGGACTGCAAGCGTCACCTGTTACGTAAGGTGCCGTCAAGTCAGTCCTGACTCAGTGACCCGACGTACAACAGAACGAAACGCTGCCCAGTCCCGCGCCATCCCCACAATCGTTGCTATGGTGGAGCCCACTGTTGTAGCCACCGTGCCAACGCATCTCCTCTTTTCCACCGACCCTCTACTTCACCATGCATGACGTCCTTCTCCAGGGACTGGTCCCTCCTGATGTCCAAAGTATGTAAGACAGTCTCGTCACCCTTCCTTCAAGGAACGTTCTGACTGTACCTCTCCCAAGATAGAATTGCTTGTTCTTCTGGCAGTTCATGGCATATTCAATATTCTTCACCATAACATTGTAATTCATAGGCAGTCACTCTTCAGTCTTCCTTATTCACTGCCCTGCTTTCACATGCACATGTGCTGACTAAAAATACTACGGCTTAGTCCTCAAAGTGACATCTTTGCTTTTTAACACTTTAATGAGGTCTCTTGCAGTAGATTTGCCCAATGTAATAAGTCATTTAATTTCTTGACTGCTGCTACCATGGGTTTTGATTGTGTATGCAAGTAAACAGAAATTCTTAACAGCTGTTTTGATTGCCTCTAGTATCACTCAGACATACCACAGGTGGATGGCTTGAACAAATAGGGATTTATTATCTTACTGTTTAGGAGGCTAGAAGCCCGAGTTCAAGGTGCCAAGGACTAGGGACTGGGTAAAGGCCCCTGACCCTGGGCTTCAGCTCTGCCTCTTGCTCCTGGTCCATTGAACTGGGAGGCATCTCCACTCAGGCAGCTGCTTGCTGCTAAGGTTGACAAATACAATGGCACAGTCCCAATATTACCAAACAACACGGCAGGCCACTAGTTCAAGTTCAGAGACAGTCCCAAGCCCAGCAGGAAACATGGCAGGCCTCTGCTGAACACTTGGCTACATGAAGGATTCAAGCTGCCAAAAAGCTGCAGACCGTTCCCAGAGCTTCTCCTTACACACTGGGAGCAGACCACATCCCTAAGGCAGCCGCTCCACGGCTCATGGCAGATCCCACCATGGAGCTGAATGCCAGCCTCATCATGGGGAATAACGACCACCAGCTGCCCAGCCACTCAACCAGGCCCAGGCAAGCTGACACTAACCTTAACTACCACAATAACTTCTATATTTTTCTGTTCATCATGATGTTGTAATAAAGATTTTTGTTTTATGTTGTGGTATAATCCATATGGAAGGCTGCAGTCTTTGATCTTCTTCAGTCTTCCATATTCAATGTCCTGCTTTCACAGGCATATGAGGCGACTGAAAATACCTTGGCTACAGTCAGGTGCACCTTAGTCCTCAAAGTGACATCTTCGTTTTTCGACAGTTTAAAGGGTTTATATAACCTACAGCCATCAAGTCAATCTGACTCATAGTGACCCTACAGGAAGAGTAGAACTGGCCCAAAGGGGAAGACCGTCAGCGAGATGGACTGGCACAGTGACTGTGGTGATGGGCTTGGGTACAGCAGGGATTGTGAGGCTGGCACAGGACCGGACACTTTCATTCCGCTGGACATGGGGTCGCTATGAGACGAAACTGACTCAATGGCAACTAACAACATTAATTAAATATGCTGATGCTTTGTGAAAAGCTCTTATTTTTGTGCATTTTTTCCCTGGATTTTTATGGTGAAGAGTGATTCATTAAGCATTAATTTCTTCTATGAAAGCATTCAGGGTTTAGAATGAGGAGCAACAACTTGTTCTTAAATCCAAAAACCAAACTCACTGCCACGGAGTCGATGTGACTTACAGCGACCCCTCCTTGGGTTTCCAGGGCAGTATCACTATGGAAGTAGATTTCCCAGTCTTCCTTCGGAGGAGTGGCTGGCTGGTGGGTTTGAACTGCCCGGCTCCTGGTTTGCAGTCAAATGCCTTAGGCACTATGCCACCAGAGCTCCTTGTTCTTAAATAGATTCGCCAAACCAACCTAACATAATTATTGGGTTTCAGTCCTCAATTTAAGCCTTTCTATTTTAAAATGTTAAAAACAAACAAACAATAGCATGTTTCAGTACATGTGTCTTTTTCTAGCCACAAAAGACAAGTTCCAGTAGATGGGGCTAGAAATCTGTACAAAAGGGAGAAGCAGCAAAATACTTTACTACGAACACTTTCCTGTTTCTGGAGCATTATACGTTCTGACAGAACGCTGCTCTTCAAACAAAAAGAAGAAGCCTGCTTTTACTCACTGTCTGCTTTTACTCACAGTCTATTAAAGGAGACATTTTGCACATGATAGCAGTCCTACCTCACACTACTACAGGAAAAACTGCATTTTTTCTTCCTGCCATGAACTGACTACAGATGAAAGTTATAAAACACTTACGGATTTTATTATCATAACTAAATTTTTACTAATCATATGCATTCATTTTAAAGGTTTTTGCATTGGAACTCATAGTGAGAAATCATGGTATATACATGTATGTACATATAAGCACACTTACCAATAACTGCAAGAAAAGCTTCATGAAATAGGATTTACCTTCGTCATGAGCAATGTAGATAGTGTCTATTTCATTTTTTTTTTCAAATCAACAAACCAGCCCGTTAACACCCCACTACACTAATGTATTTTGCTCACCTTCCACAGCTAATGGTGTCACTGCACTCTCACCAGGGCTCTCACCCTCTGGCACCTTCCACTGAAAGACAGTACATTACCAGCAAAGAAGCGGGTTGCTCTTCTCCAAGGTGATAAACCAACGCAAAGTGGTCTGACAAGTTCAGTAGGCTATGAACTCTGCTAATGAGACCAGGCCAAAAATTACTTCCAACCTAAAACAACAAAAGCCAGACTCACTGCTGTCAGGTCGATTGCGGCTCATAGTGACCCCTCCTTGGGTTTCCGAGGCAGTATCACTACGGAAGTAGATTGCCCCATCTTCCTTCTGAGGAGTGGCTGGTGGGTCTGATCTACCAGCCTTCTGGTTAGCAGTCAAACGCCTTAGGCACTATGCCACCAGAGCTCCCACTTCCAACCTGGACGGTGATTTATACTGCATGCAGCCAATTCCGAATGCATGCTGTGTGCAGAGGTAAAAGGATGGGTGCAGCAAGTGTGGGGTTCGTACAGAGTACATAGGCTTTGTGTTACAAAGTAGAGTCCCTCCATTGTCTCAGTCAAGAGGGGCATAAAGGGTTATACTAGCACAAGGATTCACTGGCCCTGTGACACCCATATGGAAAAGCCGTGGCCCTCAACTGGGGGCAGGTAACAGCCTGTCTTCAGCCCTGGGTGCATATTTACTGATCATATTTCAAGACAGTTTCCTCTGATGAAATGTAAGATCAGAAAATAATGTTCCCAAATTAAATCACTGTTGATCACTACAGAAATGCTTTCAGAAACATGGACCTAGGAGCTCTGGTGGCACAGTGGTTAAAGCATTCACCTGCTAACCAAAAGGTTGGTGGTTTGAAGCCACCAGTTGTTCCATGGGAGAAAGAGTCAGTATAGTGTAAAGTGAGACAACAAAGGCATTCACATTAACATACAGCAAGGAATTGACATGAACAGAGAAATAAATGTTATCAAATACCTGGTATGAATAATCTAGTTGGACATTTAGTTCTGAGAAGTCAGATAATTAAAGAAAGGAGGGAAGCCTCATGGGTTGTATATTTCTTATAAATAAATGAAAACATCTTAAGAAAAATTACTTTTTCCATCACTAAATCCAAGGCGACATTTATTTCTGAGGTCAATATATAAATCCACTGCCATCCAGGAGATTCCAACTCATAGTGAGCCTTTAGGACAGAGCAGACCTGCCTCAGGGCTTCCAAGGCTGCAAATCTTTCTGGAAGCAGACTGCCAAATCCTCCTCCAGCCAAGCAGCTGTGGGTTAGCAGCCAAGCACTTACCCACTTAACCATTATGCCACCAGAGCTCCTTAAAGGAGAAAGATAAACAAATGGAATTCAGGAAAATTGCTTCCAAGTCTAAAGACAGGCCAAAGAAATAATGCCTCTTTGATCGTTCATAACCACTAACCAAAAAAAAAAAAAAAAAGGCCCGATCAGTCTAAGACATCTGATCATACCTACTCCTTACTCAGTGATGTTTAGCTGATGCATCTCATTTACAACAATAGTGAAAAATCCACTATCTGACGATTTTATGTACTAACCTGGGCTTCCGCCCAGTGTCCACATCCTGGCCCACGGAGACCCTGTGTCTGTCAGGCTTGCAGCTGCAGCAGCCAGCTTTCCAGAAGGTCCCATCCCAACTGCCGGAGCCACCGCTGCAGCTCTTTGTGCAAAAGAGGCGACTGAGGTGGACTTTGAGGGCCCCTTACAGAAGGGCCTGTGAGCAGCTGGAGAGACTCAGGAGGTAGCAGGGGTTGGGGAGGTGGCTGCCTCCCTCTACTCAAGCACCCTGGAGGGACCAAGTTTTGCAGCAGGAAGGTTCCTAGGAGTAATGCAGAGTCTGGGGGCTACAGCAGGAGCCAACCATCCCCCCCTCCACGGCCCAGTGTAAGTCTCCAGGACCTTGGCCTCAATTTCCAAGCCCTACAAGACCAACGGCATGTTTTGTGTTTCCATGGGGTCCTCCCTGGCCTGCAGGGTGGCAGCAGGTGGCTGGGGCTGCGGAGGAGGTGGAGGTGGAGAGCATGGACAAGGGTAACAAAGCTAACTGTCTTGACTCCCAACCCCACTGGCTGCCAGAGCACCAGAACCCCCAACTGTACCTGTAACCCAACCACCAGGCCCCAGGTGCACTCAAGCACCAGCCTCAATAGCATGGCCCTGGGCTCCAGAGCACAGTGGTGCCAGGGACACAACAGTTATGAGGGTCTGGGCTCCAGGGCCATCTCTACATCCTCCTCCTCACATAACACTGATTTGGCATAATGACCTTGTCTTTGGAACCTACCTATGTCGATAAGTGAGGGATGGGTATATGTCCCTGGACCAGGTAGTTAGGTACCACTGAGTC